AAATCAAAAAAAACTGAACAACATACTAAAATTTTAACATATACATATTTACACAAATAACTCAGTTCAAGGTGCTGGAAAAATTGCAAAACATTAGAAAACTATCAAATCCAGGTTTTTTTGATACAAGCACACAAACAGGATAAGGGATTTTTTTTTTAATAGTTCACATCTGCAAAAGATTTTTCCCCCTAAACACTGAATTTTTAGGCTTGTGTGTAATTCGCTAGAACTACACTGCAGGAATCAGAAGTCCTGAAGCTGTGAAGGCTTACTTGTAAGGGTTCCAGCTTGTCCAAAATAAGTACCAGTAGGTTCTATTTGTCACCAAAATCTAGGCAGAGAAAAACTCAACGCTGGGAGTTACCAAAGCTTTAACTTTTAGCTTGAAGATCATTAAACTGTTCCACCTGCCATCTCATCATCTCACTAAAGTAGAGGCCACAGGAAATAAAAGGCAAACTAAAGGTTCCCAATTGACACTGGAGCTAGTTAAAGGATTACAGAATTGCCTACACTTTGAGCACAAATTAGAGTAACAAAGACTACTAAGGATAAAGTAACTGCTGACTAACAGAAAAATACTGAAATTAAAGACAAATGGCCACACATTTTAACATCCTTTGTTACTATTTTCAATATCTTTTAAATAATAGAAGTATAGATCCCATCATATAAAATGTACTTGCTAATAACGCTTTCTATTTAGATCCCCATACATCCCATCACACAAAATTCACATTTTAATCTTTCTATTTCTTGAAAAGGCAATTCTAAATATACAGATTATTCAAAAAGCATGGTGACACATATAGGGATTACCTGTTATAAATACAACCTGTACAGAGTTTAATTATTGTTTAACTAATTACATAATTCAGTGCCTACCCACACTTTTTCACTAAACCCCCTCCCCACAGCAACTAGCACCAACCCTGTCAAAAAAGGGGTGCTCAAGTGTTTCAGGGAATGAACTTGTTATAGAAATTTCTGAGACAGTAAAACAGGTCCCCAGGATTCAATAAAATCCACTAATGTTAATGAAATTAGGATACAGACCCTATCACTCTAAGCTTCTACAGGGAAAACAAACATTTCCACCATACTTCCCAATACCTGTATGAGTCAGTAAAATATAAAGTGGCAGATCTTGTTTTAAGTTACCACATCTCTCTGAAAAGGGGATCTATGAAAACTCTTGGTTTTATAAGCAATTATAGTTTAAACCAAGTCCCATTATATCAGATCCACTTTTGTGATTTAACCTTCGTTTTTCTGAACATTTATTGTACTCTAACAGGACAGGTTTCCTCTCCTTTTACTCCTTCAAGAATACACTCGACCCTGTACCACCACTCACAAGGCCTCCCCAGCCCCTACTTCTTTTGTATATAAACACACTGGTCACACACTCCATCAGCTGTTCGGTAGCTCCGCCCCTCCTCCTTTTCCGGGTAGTAACAGAGCAGCCAATGGGCTGCGAGGAGCTGTGCCTGCGGCCTTTCGCCTGCATACGCTTTTCCAAAACAAGCAGCTCCAGCCTTCGGCAGGGGCCACTGGTTCACAGATAAAAGGATCACCAGGCTGTGCAACAGGGTGAGACGAGTAACCCCCACCAACAAGGAAACCCGTGTAATCTGAGCTGTTTGTTCCTCCACCGGGGAGAACTTAAACCGATATTCCTTTAGGGCAAATCACGCTTTAAGGTCACCAGAGTCCCAGTTTTCAGACAATCTGAATAATCAGGCGGTTTTGAGATGGAAACCTCAAAGGCTGCCAAGCTGGAAACGACATAGTATCACCAGTCTACCTGACTTTACAAACAAATGGCCACACTATTTCAGGACTACTCCACAGGATCCGGGCTAACTGCAAGTTTTTTATTGGGACACATTCCTACAGGGCCCAAAAGTCACGTAAATCAGCTTCTAGGCTCCTGGAGAGGTTTGCACAACCCTCAGCAAAGGCTCAGAAGAGAAACAATGAATGAGTCAGAGTTTCAGAACATAATCGCCCAGCAGATTATTAAGTGCAATGGTGCAAAACACTCACTCCCTGCATAACTTGGGAGTCAGCTCTCCTCCTACCAACCCGTCACAAAAGAAATCTTATCCACTCCAAACAACAACCACAGACGAGTCTCTAGAAGAACCTGGAGAAGTGGTGGAAGGCAGTGGCCAATTAGTTACACATCCTCTTCTTCCCTACCCCCACACCGCTACTTTAGTACACACAGGTTCCCTGCCAGGCTATAAATCGTGGTGGCATAATGACACTCAGGAGAAATCCAAAAATGGTCTGAAACAGGAGATTGCCATGAAATCAGCTATCGGCCTTCACAGCAAAGATTATCATAAGGGGCACTGTGAAGCAAAAAGCAAGTACATTCCTTCAGACCCTTTCTACTTCCTCTCCACCATCTTTCATTTTCAACCCCGGGCACTTTCATGCAATTGTACTCATTTTAGTAGAAGGTTGGGGAATTTTTCCTTACATTTTTTTCTAAATATACCTTACTCTAAAATTGTTGGCTCCATTTGGGCCTACTGATGTGAATTCAATAGAGAAAGGAGGCCACAAAATCCCTCACCACCCCACCCCCCCAACACACACACAAAAGGAAATACGAAAATTTTAACTTACAAACTATGTTAGACCAGAAAATAAATACAAAACAAAGGTAACCTCTGGCTTAAATCCTGAGATTGGTGTCCTCCTATCTCAGAGAACAGGATTTTAAATCGCCTTTGCTTTCTTTTGTCAGAAAGGAGGAAGGTGGGGAAGAACAGAAGGCCAATGCATCTTTGCCTTTCTTCATCTTCTACTAAAAATAAGCTATGAAATAAGCCACTTAGGGGAAGGGAAAAAAAAAAGACACCTGCTGTTCTTTGTCTGTTTTCCTCTCCCTCTCCACCCCCCACACCCCGACTCCTAAATGCTGTAATCATTCTAGATGCCACAACTACTAAATGAACAAAAGGCACTGTATGGAAAAGGCATCAGGTCAAGTTAGGCCTCACCCTTTATTCTAAATTTTCTGAAAACATATATGTATATAATTTAAGAGTCTGCCATTGATTAAAAACAGCTGGAATTCTTTCTCCCATCCACCCCACCATCCCAATTAAACATTAGGTAGAAATTTGCATTAGGTGTGACAGTAACTATCAATTTAAGATAAAAATAACTCAGATTCTACCACCATGTCATTTTCTAGTTTCTAAACAAAAATAAAACCTAAAACTGCTTTGCGTAAAATGTACACACAGCCGTAGTTATAAGTTTTCCTGCAACCTTATGAAAAGCTAACATTAATGGTTATCATTCACACATTACAATCATGGCCACAAACAGCTCATAAAGAGTCAATTTCATTTCTGCCTAGACATCTATCTGGTAAAGAACATACACTTTATTACTTGCTTACTTGCTCCTCCCTTGAGTCCCTATTCAAACCTCCCAAAAATTCTAAACTTCAAATCCTGAAACTTAGTTTATCTACCGTCCAAATTTCTAAACATGTTTTTGATTATGGAGAAAAACACCTACTTATTCCTGAAAAGATTATTGGGGGGGGTGTAAATCTCTTGCCCAAGGCAACTTCCCTCCCATCCCCCACTTTCAAACCAAATACAAAAACTACTTTTTTAAAACTTCAGCAAATCTTGTAACTGAATATTTGACAATAATCATCGATCTCTACAAAGAAGGAACACATCCAATCAAAAACTGTAATAAATAAAAAGAAGAAAGAAAGGAATTCACCTGAAGAATCTAGCCAAACAACTTGAGTTATATAAACAAAACCCTGCAACAGGGGGAAATAGTGGGGGGATGGGGGTAGGAGAAAAAGCAGCAGAAGACAGGGCTTTTTAACTGCGTTTCTCACACTACCACTCCCCACCCCACCCCCCTTTCTCCCCTCTCCCCAGGGATTTGTTCAGAACTCAGGGCTCATTTCCTCTCTGCCACCAACACCACCACCCTCCAAATTACCCCTCAAAAAATTTCACTACTATCACAGGAACCTTCTGAATTTCTCTAGCTGGTCACAAAATAATCTCTCTGGACTCCAACCAAAAGCACTGCCTGAAGGACTCTTACCAGTTATAGCTTTCCAAATGCTACCTCCAGAGTACATAAAGTTGGGGGAAGGGGGATGGAAAATAAAGGGTGTCACTTGGCAAGATCAGGGCAATTACTGTCCAAGAACCTTACCCTTATAGAGGGAGTTTGCTTAAGTGGCTAGTACAGGAGCTATTTTGTTAAGGAGATCCTCTTTCTCTCCCTGCCCCCAGCTGTCATAGCCACAATATGGAGGAGGGCTGCTTGCTGGAGGGCCTGGGGGTCCCCACCACATGCAACTATGGGTGGGATAGGCTTTGTCAGTGAAAAGAAAAACTGTGGGGCTCTCCTAGGGTACAGGAAGCTTAATAGGGGTCTCTGACTTAAACATTCAGAGTTCTTTATTACAAGAGGGGGCACCGAGCAGACTCCTGTCTTCCTAATATAGAAAGGAATTAAGGATAAAGGAGGTCACTTGAGTTACCCCAGTTCAAGCAGCATTGTGAGTGGAAGGAATGGAGACATCTCAAGAAAAGCATAAAGGCTTCACTGGGGAATATCTATCTCGAGTCCCTAAATCTAGAGCGAGCAAGCAAGCAAGCAAGCGAGACCCCGAAGAGAGTAGCTGGTCCTGCAAAAAAGGTCCTTCTGGGAGTCCAAACGCGGTGGAGAAAAGTCAGGGCATGGGGGGGGGGGGACAGAAAAAGCTAGGAACAACACATATTTCGGGGGTGCTGCAGATAAAGGGGCACCTGGAAAGGCTCTAGGCTCCTAGGAGGTGCCAAGGAGCGGCCATAGGCACTAGAGGGAAGGTGGGGAGCCTCGGACAGTAGAGTGGGGTGCCCCAGGGCCCCTGCTCCGGCTTCAGGGGGTGCCCTCGGCATCCCCACACCGACCCCCACACACAGCCCAAATCCCCCCTCCACGAAGGATACAGCTTGACCACGTCCGTGTCCATCCGCCTCTTGCCCGGACTGGGGGATGACATGGTGTCGCCGCTGCTTCCCCGTCGCCTGTGCCGCCGCCTCTTTCCCTTCCTCGGCCCGTCTGTCACGGGCCCTGGGCCCTGGCTCTTAAGAGCCCGCGGCTGTGCCGGCTCCTCGGTGGAGGTACAACACCCCCGCGGTCCTGTTGGGTCCCGTCAGCCGCCGCCGCCGCCCCCCGCACGGGGGAACACCGGGCACTGTCCGGCCGGGTGGGGGTGGGGACCCCGCAGCGCCCGGCTCAGGCTGCCCCTCTCTGGCTGTGGGTTCCGCCGCGGCCCGGCCCCGGCGCTACTCTGCGCCGCGCGACGCCTCCTCCTGCCTGCTCTAGCTCGCTCGCCTGCTCGCCTGCTCGCCTGCTCGCCCGCTCACCCTCTCGCCGGCTCCCTAGTAGCCTCCACGACAAGCGGGCGACTCGAGCTCCGTCGGCCTCTCTACCCCAGCCTCGCTCTGGCCGCCGTGACGTCACCTCTGTGACGTCATCTGTTGGGCGGGCCCAGTCGGCGAAAGGGGTGGGGCGCCACGGCGGCGGCGTGGACTTTCCAGGGGGATTCTGGGAATTGTAGTTCTCTTTCTCTTGGCCTCGCAGCTTCTGCCCCCTCCCCCAACTTCCCCACTCATTTCATCGCTCAACTGCCAGTGTCGTTATCATTATCATAAACGATAATAGCAAATAATGGCAATATTATTACATTCATGTGTTTTAGGGTAATGAAATTCCTTCTCACATACATTGTTAAATAAGCTGGTTATTTGATTTGGAGGCCAGGTGCCAATTACTCAGGCAGGCATCAAAACCTGGAAATTCCTACACCAGCAGGTTCCCTACCCTCTACTCCTTGGATGGAGAGGACTTGTTTGTAGGATGTCAGACTATAGCAAGGCTTCCTCAGAGCTTGCAAACCAAGGTTCGTTATCCTACACAGGTATTGTATCACTATTTCAAGGATTGGAGTTGAGATCATAAGGTAGCAAGGCCGGAAGTAATTTAGTGCTACCATCTTTCCTATATGGACTATGAGGTAATTTCATAAAGTGAATGACTGATAGCAGCAGAAACACCCAGATAGGCTGTAGTTCAGGTCAAAGATTATCCTGCCCTATAAACTCCTACCCCAACCTCTTACTCGCCATCATTCATACAGTAAATATGGAGCTCCTACTATATGTTAACCACTCTGGCATGAAGATAAGAACAATTTTGAGTTTACACAGTCTCCCCACTATAGTCTGTAGATCTGTGGTATCAGCCTCACCTGGGAACTTGTTAGAACTGCAGGCTAGAGCTTCACCTCAGACCTACTGAATTAGAATTTGCAATTTAACAAGGTCCCCAGGTGATTCCACACCCTGTGAAATTTGAGAGACACTACTCTATAAGGCACTCCAAAGAAAGAGCTACCAGGCAAGGTATCAACCAGGTAGAGGGGGCAGGAAAGAGCATTCCAGGCATCTCCTATATCTCTGTCCCATTTTTGTTGCCAGCTATTTTCAAAATTTTTATCTATTCCTCTATTCCCATGAATATACTCACACTTTGTCAGCCACATGCTCTGAGTTGCTTCACCTTATATAATGCCTTCCCCCCATACACACACTTAGGGCAGCAGTAGTCCACTAAAGTTGAAAGTGTTTGGGTCCTATAATTCCATCCCTCAAAACCATCTATCTGTGTATATGGTAAATATGAATCACAAAACTTACTGTTTTCAAGTGCACAATTCAGTATCATTAAATACATTAACAATGTTGTACAACCATATAGGGTCAATGAAGTTGATCAGGATTTTTACACCACAGCATTACCCTCTGGGCTATCACCTGCAGCCTTGATCTTATTAATGTAGAAGGCACATGGGTGTGAGGCATGCATGCCTGATTATGGACACCTGAGCCTGAATGTGCGTGCATGTGCAACTATGCACACCTGTGCCTAGGCGGGAGGAAGAAAAAAGGGAGTTGTCACTCTGGAGAAGCTGTCTCCCTGCTGGCTTGTTTCCCTTGTTACCATTAAAACCTATGAAAAAAAAAAAACCTATGAAAATGATGCCAAGGGTTCCAAAATTCTCTTTCAAATCACTAGAATTGATAGTGAACCTGCCCAATCTGGAATGGGTGCAAAACAAACCATCACTTTTATCCATTTCTAGAGATTTCTCATCATCCCAAACAGAAACTCTAAACTGGTTAAAGGACAATGCCTTAGTCATCCCCCTTCCCCTCAGTTTGGTGATCACCTACTTTCTGGGAAAGGAAAGGTATTTTAACTCCTTCTAAAAGGAAACATTACTCTTTCTTATGGCAATCTGTCAGGAAAACATATCTGCATGAAAAGGTTTCCAATTCCATTTATTTGATACTTTGTCAAAGGGAGACAAGAATGGACCCAAGAAGTGTTAGGAGTCTGTGGGTGTTGCTGGTCCTCTCCCAGTTTAATACCCACTCTTCATCACCTGAGTGATTCCCACTCCTCAGCTAAGACTGTGATTCTCCAGCTTAGGTGTATTTCAGAATTACCTGGGGAGCTTGTTAAGCTTACTAATGTCCAGGTCCCACCCCTGAGGGTTCTGATTCAGAAAGTCTGGGGTGGGGCTTGGATGTCCACATCTTTAACAAGCTCCCCAGATGATTCTGATGTAGGCCAAAGTTTGAGAACCACTGCCTGGAGATTCCAATAGGCAGCAGCATATTCAAAGCACCTGCCTGGCCCCTTTGGGTGGGATCTGTGCATCCATGATGTGCTGTGCGAAAAAGGACGATTCCTCCCAACTTCAGAGCTGAGGACCCCAAGGTGTTATTTCTAAAACAGACAGAAATGGTGAAGGATGGAGCACTTGAGGAAGAAGGACATGGGACAGACCTAGAAATGTGCCTTGGTGTTTTCATCTTCACAGAGGCCATACTGCTGTGATCTAAGCACTAAGCAGAAATAATCAGAGGTGTGTTTAATTGGGAAACGTCTTCCAGACAGCTCAGAAAAGGCGGGGCTGCTCTGCCTAGAAATACAGTGACCTCTGAGCCATCACCCTTCCAAGGAAAGAGTCGTAGTGTCTAGTAAATATTTTAGCTCTGGGTTACTTGGGATAAACCCGGCCCTCCTCAGCTCTTAATTATGCCTCTGTTAATTGCATATATTCTCCTAAGCCTCAGTTTTCTCATCTGTAAATTGTGGCTTGTAATGCCCTACCCACTTGAATGGGTTAATCACAGAATGGAAAAGATGAAAACTGTGAAAGCCCCTTGCAAACTATAAATTGCTTTTCATAAAGGAAACATTTAGTGTGGATTTCAAGTGTAATATTTTATCGGAGGGGTATTATTATTATCAACCCCCGCTCCCAGTCGTTAGAAACTATTGAGGAAAGGCACATTCGTTTGCTTGTTTGTTTTGAAGATGGCATGGAGTCAAATTCTCTCTTGGTAGTAAAAGTATGTTCACCTTTCTATGATGTACCTTGTGTATATGGACATTTTGCATTCTACTCCTTAAAAAATTCTCTCCCTCCATTCTGACTTCCTCTCCCTTGCTCCACTGCAACTTCCTCTCCCCTTTCCGAAGCTTCAAAGGACTTGCACCCCTGTGCTTGGCCACGCAGGTTCAAAGTGGGGCCAAATGACAACCCTGGCTTGACTGATTTGGACTTACAAACCCTGGAACGCCCCTTGAGCAGAGGTAAGTTTGAACTCACCTTTTCTAGCGTTTCAGCTATTCAAAATGTCAATAATTTACTCTAAGACAACTCTGGGGCCTGGGAGTGTCTGTTTATGTGCACACACATGCCAGTACGCTGGAATGAGCCGTGTTCTGCCTTATCAGGTACAAGCAGGGGTGCTGGAAGGAACAGCTGTCTGGCCCTGTTTGACTTGCTAGTGTTGCAATCTGAAAATGTATTTGGGCCTGTTTATCTCCCCCCAGGCAGGGCCAAGCTTGACCAAAGGAGCCTCTGATCTCAGGAGCAAATTCTCAAAGGCAAGAAAATCAGTCTGGAGAGAATATAATGCCTTGAGCAAAACATTAAGAGGGAGTAAGATGAAACCCATCATTTGGTGGCAGTTCAGAACCCAGCCCAGAAGGTACTCTACCTCTGAAGGTCCCCGTTAAACATAGTTCTAAAAGCAAAGTGAAGTCCTTGCTGTCGCCATCAAATGTGAAATCTCCCAAATATGGGAGTGGATTTTTTTTTTTTAAATCAAGATATAGGTTTATTTTGAGCTGCCACCCTTGGCTTCAGAAGTCACAGGTCCAGACTCCTCTGGAGAGCAATCAGATCAGCAGTTTCTTTGCTGCTATGGAAATAAAAGCTTAAAGCTCATTTCAAGTCGTTTCCATGTAACCCTGTTAGAATGTGTCCCCACAGAAGCAGTCAAGTACATGGTAGCTCAGGAAAATGCAGGCCTCATAGCAGCAAGGACAGGAAGATTTCATCTCCTACACTTGCTGTTATTCCTACAGATTCTTGGCTTGCTATCTCTGGCAACAAGCTCTTGGGGCAAATACCAGCGCTCCCCCCCGCCCCCTGCCCCAAAGCAGCATGATTCAGTGAGAACATGGAACTTGGAGATAGATGACCCCTTCTAGTCCTAGGCCTATTTCTGGTATAGTTTGGACAGATAACCTAACCTCTGTGCCTCAGTTTATTCATCTGTAAAGTGGGATAATAGTAACTTTACTACCCTTGCTTAGATCAAATAGATGTTTTAACCTTTGAAGTGCTCATCACTGTTAGATATCATCAGACCCTCTTGCATGTGTACACACACACACACACACACACACACCCCTTCATGCAGGGCTCAAGGAAGAGCAAGGTTGAAAATCACTCACACCTACAGCTGTGCCAGCTAGCCCCATTTGGAGCTTTTGTTTTGCCAGTCATAGCCTCCATGCTTCCCTTGGGGCTTCATCATCTTCCTGATCTGGGAACAATGGAGGAAGCAGATTTCATCTAGGCTCAGAGCGTGAATGCCACCTAGACCTCAGGCTCCCTTATGTACATATCTGATTGGGGCCTTGTCCCTCCACTCCAGTAACAGAGAAATTCCCTGGTGTTCAAAAAGCTTTCCCAACTCCTTCTCACATAGCTTTCCCCATCTCAGTAAAAGGCAACTATTAAGTCAAAATACATGAAATTAAGGTTAAAAGCAGTCAAATATTGGCGGTTCCACTTGGTTCAATCTAAACAATCTTCCAGCTGCTCAGGCCAGTCTTGGACTATGATCCTTGATCCCTTTCTTTTGTTGCCACCCTACATCAAATCCATTGGGAAATCCAGTTCAGTCTACTCTCTGATATCTAGAATATTTTCCCATTATCTCCACCAAGGTATTACTAATACAAGCTTCTTGATTGGCCTTGTATTTTCAACCCCAGAATTCACTCAGCTGGAAGTCAATGATCTTTTTAAATTATAAATCAGGGCTCTGCCTGGTGGCACAACAGGTTAAAGCACCAT